TCCCTACATTTGTAAGGTTTCTCACCTGTATGAATTCTCTGATGTTTTATAAGAGTTGAGCCAGATCCAAAGGATTTCTCACATTCCCTACATTTATAAGGTTTCTCTCCTGTATGAGTTCTGTGATGATTTTTAAAATTTGAACTATTTGTAAATGACTTATCACATTCATTGCATTTGTAAGGTTTCTCTCCTGTATGAATTCTCTGATGATTTTTAAGAGTTGAACTATATGTAAATGATTGACACATTCACTACATTTGTAAGATTTCCCTCCTGTATGAATCTTCTGATGATTTTTAAGAGTTGAACTATATGTAAATGACTTCTCACATTCACAACATTTGTAAGGTTTCCCTCCTGTATGAATCTTCTGATGGTTTTTAAGAGTTGAATTACGTGTAGATGACTTCTCACATTCACTACATTTGTGAGGTTTCTGTCCTTTATGAGATTTCTGATGTGTTCCAAGATTTGAGCTACATCCAAAGGATTTTTCACATTCACCATATTTGTAAGGCTCCTCTCCTGTATGAATTCTCTGATGGTTTCCTGTAGTACCGCTGGTGTTATAAGGTATACACTGAGATGATTCACAAAGCATTTTGCCAAGGTCATTATTGTTGTAAGACTTCTTTTGGATATTCACGTGCTGATAGACAGTACTATTTGATCCTTGATCCATGATGCTTTCATATTTACCACATATGCGATGTTTCTCTGGAAAGTGAGAACAAATAGGGCTGAGAGGAACTGATGAATGAATAAGAGATTCAATACTTGAAGTTCCCTTAGGTTAACCAGCATTTACTAGAAGCACAGCTCTCAGCATAGGCCTTCTGTGTTTTACTATCACTAACTGAACAGTAATAAAAACCACTCTAGTCTCCATTAAACACAAGGATCACTGAAGGGGCTTCCATCCTTACATGAAATGGATATTTTGAAGAGGCAGGAAAAATGGGTGATTGAGAAAGCATCATATGTGAATTATTTCTATACAGAGTCATACTGTGCATCCTTGCCTGACTAGGAACTCACTGTGTTTCCCAAGCCAGCCTGAAACTCATCAGTTCCTCTTGGTTCAGACTCCCTAATGCTAGGATTAAAATCATGTTCACCAAGACTAAAGATATAGACCAGATTCCAAAAATTAATCAATAAAACAAACAAAAACAACAACATAGCTACCACAGTATTTTCTCTATTTTAAAACTTCCTCATTTTTTTAAATCAAAAGAGGTGAATAGTTTGATTCAATAGTAAAATGAAAATATTCCAATCACTAATAGTACTTTACTGCATTTCCATTCTCTGAATATTCAATAATCTTTAAACTTTGAAGTTTTCAGTTAAAAACTAGTTAAGAGGGCTTGACAGATCACAGTAAATAGCATTTGTTGCTTTTGCAGAGAATGCAGAAAAATGTAAAAGAAGTTATGTTTATTACCAGAATTTCCCTCATTTCTGGTAGTCATAGAATGTTCATGGAGTTTACTTAAAAATAATCACAAATAATAGGTAAATCCAAACAATGAGTCAGGAATCTACAAGAAGAGCATTCTTACCTACAAAAATGAGATTTCTGTAATTCTCCAACATCACATCAATATATAAAGTCCTCCAAGCAGAATCCAGACATTCCCACTCCTCCTGGGAGAAGTCAACATCCAAATCCCTGAACGTCAACAGACCCTGTAATAGAAAATTACCTTTTACCATATGCTTTGGGCAAAATGCTTTCCTATGGAAAAGAAACATAAGGAATGACAGACACTTTTGTGATGCAGATGAGGCATGACAATTATTCAAAGACTAAAGTTTTCTAGAGGTTGTACAGAAATGAGTTAGCAATTTTAAGCACAAGCTGCTCTTTCAGAGGACTCACATTCAATTCCTACTACACAACTGAGTTTAACTACACTTCCATGGGATCCAATGCTCACCTCTGATCTCTGCAGGCAGGATATAGATGGCAGTCATGCATATATTTTAAAGTAAAAATGAAAGTTAATTTTGAAGAAAGATACTTTCTAGAATATTCATACTGTTTTTAAAAATCTTTATAACATAAAGATTTGGCAAACATTAAACTTTTAGGGAATATGAAATAACTATTTGAGGTATAGATGTGTACCTTCATGAGGGGCATTTTGATATCAAACATTATCACTGTGTCTAATCTCACATGGAAAAGTTATGATAAGCAAAACTGCTTCCAAATGTTTCTCCTATAGTCCTGCTCTCGTATGGCTGCTGGCTCAATCTGAATCTTGGCCTCACAAGATGCTGTTCTAAAATGCTCAGTTGGGATACGGAAGCCCAGGTTCCATGCTGCATTCTCTGTAGAACAATGTGGAAGGCAGAATTCAGGGATGAATTCAAGTCAGTGAGGTCTGTTTTTTTTTGTTTGTTTGTTTTTTTTGTTTGTTTGGTTTTTTTTGTGTTTTTTTTAACTGATGAGGAAGATCAGTAAGAGTGCATAAATCCCATGTTCTAAAATACACAACAAAGTCAAATAATCTGTGACGTTAAGTTGTGACACTACTTTGACTACCATGAAATAAATAGAAAAATCAGTAATAGATACTGTTATTCCACAAGCCAATACAGATGAGTAACAATTTCAGAAATTCCATATATGGTTTTACTACAGAATAGTTTATTGCATTATTGTATTATATACAAATAGAAATTTGTATAAATAACTAGCCTGTGTGACAATGCATTCAGATGAAGTAGAAATATCTTCTGTGATCAATAAGAATGAACAAAGTTTGCCAAAATTATACTAATTCTTCATTAAGTATTTTGCTGCAAAAGCAGCTCTGAGATCCTATTCCTTTAAAGCAGAAGGATCTGATGGAGGGTCCAATCTGTACTTTGTCTTATTAAGTGAGGACCCCATACACCAGGGGGTGCTCTCTGCAGCCACCATGGTGCTCCTCCCCTTTGGTGTGAAGAAGAGCCCTGCTCTCTCCTGCTACCATTCTTTCCTGTGAATGGAAGCCTGGGCTTCCAGCCACTGGAAGCTCTGGAATCTGCCCCTATTTGCATAGGTCCTAAAGGCCCTGGAAACTGGCCCTGGCTGACCTTGGAGTGAGCCTGCTGCAAGTCTGCCCCCGCCCTGGATCCACAGCGCACAAGGCGGGGGCTATCCTGGTGATTGGTGGCCACATGTGGGAGCCACGACCCCTGAATGCAGATATGTTAACCTTCAGCTTTCACACAGTGTTGCATGGTCCCGAGCATCTGCATGGTGGCGGGTTGCTTTGTGGATGACTCAGCACAGCCAGAGAGTCTGCTCTATACCACCTGTCCTGGAAGTCTTTCTTAAGGGGCTTGGTTTGGTGGAGTTGTCCACGGTTGGCAGGGATGCTTGAACCAACTGTGCTTTCCTTTTTCACATTTTTTAAAGATTTATTTATTTATAATATATACAGTATTCTAATTGCAAGCCAGAAGAGGGCACCCGATCAAACTATAGATGGTTGTGAGTCACCATGTAGTTGCAGGGAATTGAACTCAGGACCTCTGGAAGAGCAGCCAGTGCTCTTGACCTCTGAGCCATCTCTCCAGCCCTTCAGATCTTTTCTATGCTCTCCTAGTAGAAAAGGAAGAAAACTTGAGAGGGGGCAGGTGCCTCCTCTCAAGATTCATAGGTTCCTCCCCACCAGAGAGCTCAGGTTGTTTTGCCCAGATGCATAGCAGTGGGAGGGTATAGAGTGGGGTGCCCTCCCTGTGTGGCTGCTCCCCATGCATACTTTTCAGTGACAAGTATGGCTGGGGCCACCATTTACTTGGGTTCAGGCCTATGCACATGTGCCAAGTGAGCAATCATGGAGGAGCTTTTACCTCATAGACTCTTTGTCCTGAATTAGTTGCTCCTTGAACACCTCCACTACTGTGCCCTTGGGTTTTCTTGTCCTGCTGGAGGGAAGAGCAAATTCTTTCAAACGGCTTATGTCCACCTGGAGCACCACACAGAAATGGCTGCTATTTCTGTTAAAAAATTTGTTCTTCACTCAAAAGAAAGATTTCTAATTAATCAATTTCCTATTTGTAAGTTAACAGGGGTCACATGGGGGTTCTTAATCTACTTAACTCTCATTCAGGATTTTTTCCAAGGTGTATCAGCTTCTGATCCACGTAGTTGAACTCTAATATGCCATTCGAAATTCTGACTTTCCATTTGTTAAGAACCAACTATTGTGAATTTTTCCAATCCCGAGTTTTCTTCTCACTGTAGCTTCAAGGTCTTTTTAAAAAAGTGGTAGTTCTTCTCACTTGAATCTTCAAATCAATGTGAACTCTACTTCTGAATAAGGACGTAATTATAAGAGATGCACTTTTACATTTTAAAATGTGAAGTCGTTGTGGTCCATGGTAACACATGATCCTTCCATTCTTGTTTGACAGAAGAGGAGGTGGAGACTTTTGCCTTTCAGTCAGAAATTGCTCAGCTCCTGGCCCTCATCTTCAGTACTATCTATTCAAATGGGTAAATTTTTCCTTTGTTAGTTGACTTCTAAGGATTAGGATGTAGTATCCTTTTGTGTTTTTCAACCTTTATAAAAATGATAGGGGAAGTGTAGTCTGAGTGGTAGTGGAAGTGATGGGGAGGAGTAGCTCAGCAGTTGATCCCCAAAACTGTCACAAGTTTGAAAGGGAAGGGACTGTTGGACAAGTGGAATAATGTGGCTGGGTATATATATATTTACAGGCATTGGACAATGTTCCATAAGAGGGTGTGAAGGCCTAGACTTAACTTTACAGGCCCAAGAATATGCCATGATACCTCGAATGGATACAGAGCAGTATCCTCCTGCAGACATCCTGTCTGCTGTTTAAGGGAAAGCTTAACAGGATCTAGATACTCCTGCAGACATCCTGTCTGCTGTTTATACAGGAAAGGAAAGCTTAACAGGATCCTGTCTGTGGTTTATGGCCCTTGGAGATACCTAGATAATCCTGCTGAGCAGTCCAGATAATCCTGTTCAGTGGGTTGTGGTTCCCTGCCAAAAGTCTAGACCAATAGTTTCAAAAAAATCACCTTGCCCCTTCTATGCAATCCCAAGTTGCCAATTCCTGGCTTGTGGTTTTTCCCTATGAAAACCCTCCTCACCTGGTCTCATGGCCATCGCCACATTTCCTTCCATCTGCCATGCAGCCCCCCAGGTGGAACCTGAATGACAGGACTCTGATGTGCTGTGTTGGAAACCAGCTCCTTGATGGTCTCTTGGGGTTTCTCAAAACGGGTACAACAAAAGTTTGAGAGACCCTTCCAAGTAGGACAGGAGTAAAGAACAGAAAAATGAAATCTTCCTCAGCCCTCAGGAGCACAGAAACTGCAGGTAAGTGGGGCTTTTACAGCAGAAGATGCTGCTCTGGGCTCCAATGCTCTACTCTGTACTCTGATGCTGACAAAGCATGTTATACTTGAGCCCTTATCTGAAAAGTTAAAGAAAATTAGAGTGATGAGAAGAGCGACCATGTGTGCAGTTCCTCAGCCCCTGTGCCCTCCTGAGGGGACTGTACCTCAGAAGTGTCTAGTTGGCCTCCCTTGGCCTGCTACAGAATCTCCAGCTGGATAGAAAAAGAAACTCTTAGGGGTCTGGGTCAGGTCAAGCATAAGCTTGTCCCTTTCTAGGAGTGAGCCTCATAGATTGCCTCTGTTCCCTCCAGCTGAGCTTCAAGGACAGATCAGACCACAGGCTTCCCCACTTCTAGTTAAAGGGCTCCACAATCCTGCATCAGTGAGCACAAGGCTGCTGATGCCCAGAGGACAGGCCATTCTCATGCAAACTGGCTCCCAACACACAGGCAAGGTGGAAGCTGGGAGGCCCCTGCTCTGTGCACCTGGTGTCCTTGCCCGAGCACAGGCATAGGGGGAGACTAGAAATGCATGTTCCCTCAGCTCCATCCACTACCCAGCTTGAGCAGCCATGGGGCTCACTAGCTTCTAGCCTTGTCCACCCCCTCCATCACCTCCCTCCCTGGATTGTCTGGTACAACTTCTCTTGCATGGCTAGGAGACAGGCCAGGCCAGATTTCTACAGGGAACCCCTTTAGTGATGCCCTCTCTCCTCATCAGCCTGCTTGGTGACAGTCATCAGCCCTCACCATCCCAGACACAGTGACCACCATTGCCACTTAGTGGGCCAGACTTGTGAATATCTGAAGCCCAAGGGCTTCCTCTTAGGTCAGTTTCCCCATTTTCTAACAAAGGTGTCTCCTTCCCTTTTTGCCTGTTTCAGTGATCTAAGACCAGTGACTATGACCTTCAAAGATCTGTATGACCCACTGCATCTTCCCTTAACCACTTACCCAGCCCTGTAGAGATCTGGTGACCTGATGTAAGTTCTTTTCCCCATTGCTTTGTTCAGTCCTTGCTTATCCTATGTCTTAGTTGATGAGACACCAATCTGAAGCTTCCCTGGAACACACAAAGAAGGATCTACTTATAGATGTAACCAACCGTCTTATTAAATAAG